TCAGGATGGATTTGTCCAGGCCGTAAACCGCTACGTATTCCGCACTGGTGTCAAGGCTCTGGAAGGTTTGGAGGAAGAAGGCGCGGGAGAACTACTCGAGGGACGAGGTGAGGACGTCAAGAGCGCCATCATGGGATTGTTCCTCCCCCTTCTTCCTCCTCCTCCCAGGATCGTCGATGTCGTCCGACCCGCACCCCTCCTCCCAAGCTCGACTGCCTCAGCCAACTGGTGGGTGCCAACACAACAGATGCATCCGTCGCACTCTGCCCCAGTCGATGCTTGGAGGGTGGTTCCTTCGACCCCTAGCCCTACCATTGCCACCTGCGGTGAAACTGGACCTTCGTTCTGGAGCACCATGGGAACCATGGGCTTCGAGGCCATTCAGCTTCCATCGCCGACTCCTTCCTTCAGCCAGCCATACAACTCGACGAGCCCATACGCACAAAGTACCAGCCCATATGCGCCAAGCACCAGCCCGTACACATCGAGTTCGTATTACAGCCCGCCCCCGGCATCGGCACCAATCCCAGCCCTTCCTCTGCCGAGCGTCTTGGCCCAGCAATGCGGATCAAGCGCCGTCCACGGAGGATTCGGTGGTTTTGGATGGGATACTGGATTTGCACCACAGTACGCAGCCTTCACATAAGTTGAAAGGCGCTTATGCTGTGGTACATGTATCTGATCTCTGTCGATGGCGGGAACCGCGGACCTGGCCAGTCCCCCCCTAGATTTTCCCCTCACACGCTGGTTGCCAGCGCACCAACCTTGCGACACCCGACACGAGACGAAAGCGATATTCACGACATGATGCTGAACAAGCAGACATCATTACCAAACCAGCATGGGACGGCGTTTTTCATCGATTTTTAGCGAGCGTCATTTTCTCCTCTCTTCTCGTACATGTTCTCTTTTGATACCTGATTTCTTGATTTCTCGAGTGCTTTTCTCCTTTTTTTTTAGCGAGCGATTTCTCTTTTGTTTCTTCATTGCACAACACGGCCGGACCAGGTCTTTTCTTTACTGAATACAGCATCTCTGGGAGGTATGCATGTCGGGCATTTTAACGGAAGACGGTAAACACAGCCTCACGGCTCACGAGGTCAGGCACACTCGCATTGTTTTTTTGTTTTCTTGTTTTTAATGTCGTTTTCCTCCTGGACGGGCGCGCCATCTCTTCGTTGAGCCAGTGGCATGCCATGACTCTTACGAATTTGACGCGATCAACGTTCACGAACCTGCCTACTTGGACTGGCATTGAGTGTCAGCTGGAAATGCCAAGGGGCGACGACAAAAGTTATACATGCATCTGCGATGCCGCTGTAATGGCTTGTCTCTATTTGCTGAAGGGGGTCTGGGTCGGAAAGGGGGAAGCAGCTGGGCAGGGGTCGAGACAGGAGTACGTCTGTGGCGTCACTGACTCTAGGGAAGTGGTCCTCTGCTTGCGGAGCAAACGCTTTCTGATGTACCCTTTGCACTTTTGCTGATCTCGACCGACACGGGAACCTGGATGTACAGAGACTTGTGGGTTTCATCTCCTACACTCCAAGGCCAGTCTTTGGAGAAAGCACGCTGCCTGGTTGATCTGGGCGGGTGTGAAACAGATGCTGGACAGAAGCAAGCTTCTCACTTAGCCTTCTCTACCTAATTACAAAAAAAACGAACCTTGAAATCCAATACAAAAAAAAGATTCTTCAGATATAAAGTTTGCCCATGACATGTGCTAAGAGCAGCAAGTGAAGTCGAAAGAAAGAGAGAGTCAAGAAGCGAGGGAATGTCGATCATGTCGTGACCAGGGCTTCGGGTCAACGGCCCCAGGACCATGGCTGTGCCGCAATGGAGGATTGGGCCGATGAGTGGTGCCAGACGGTAGGTTATCGGGCGGGAGTGGTGCCACGGTCGCGATGAGACGGAGAGGGCAAGGCGAGGATTGCTTTTGCGACCCGTCGTAGCCAGCACGCCTCTAGCCTGTTGTCTGACGGCCGTGGTCTCGTCTTGGGACACACGAGTTCCGCCGGGGCCACGCCTCTCTTGATGTCGAAACGTCGTGTCTGCATTCCACAGCCCCGTCGCGCAATGCCCGCCGCGCCCGCTTCGTCATAATGCCGCCCGCCAATTCGCCTGTAAGCATGCCCGTGTGTCCGCGACACGGCCGATATGGCCGACACTGCACATCACGACACGAACGTGGATGACGGACTGACTGACGGAACGCCTACTATATAGGACCCCGAACCCACCTTCATCTCGGCCCTGCGCGACCTCGAGAGCCCTGTCAACGACGACGTCCTTAATCTTGCCGCAACACTGGGCACCCAACCTGACGACGACGCTCACGGCGACGGTGACGACACCGGCGACAACCATCGCGACAACGCCAATCCCATCCACGACGCCGACGCCCTGGAACGCGCCCATCTGCACTATCTGCGCGTCGCCCACGAGCACGACCAAGTGCGCCTCGAACGGTCCCGCGAGCGCCTGCGCCTGCTGGAGCGGCAGCGAGACGAGCTGGAGCAGCGGGACAGGCTGCGGCGAGTGATGAGTCGCCTCAGCCGGTTGAGCGACAACAACTATGGCGACCGTGTCCCCAGCCAGAACAGCCTGTACGACTGGTCGCCTGCAAATGAGGCCACCGCCACCGAGAGCTCCCTCCGCTCCACGGCCATTCTGCAGTCGGCCGGCGTGCGCAGACACCCACGCTTCTCTGCCCGCACCAGGGAAGCCGCTTCCACAGAGGCCCCATCACGCCATACCTCGCACCGCACTCTCAGGGAGATGCTTGCCGCCAGAGCCAGCCTGCACAGCGACTCGGTCGAACGACACCGCGAAGCCACCGCTCGCCACATGTCCATGCAGCGACTATCAGACGGCCGCTCATCACCCATGCTCGAGCAGACGGTCAAGTACCTATCGCGGATACGCCACTCGAGCAACCCCGACGAGAGTTTGGAATATGCCCGAGATGCCGGCTTCCTGACAAAGGACTACTTTTGCCTGCAGCATGCCGACTTTGTTGCCGACACCTTCACAATACCACGTCCGACCGAGACGTCCTGGTTGGTCCCCGGCGCCGTCCTATCGGGTTGCCAACATGCAACCACCATGCTCCCCAGCGTCTCTGCCACATCGCGGCACTCTGGGCTCCCTCCACCTATCCGCCCGTGGATATGGACTCCTTCTGAAGCGTCTACGAGCCGCAGCTCACACTCATCCGAAACACCGCCCCAGCAAGACCAATGGCCTGTCAAGGTCACAATACACGACGTCGATTGGGAAGCCATGTCCCTCTCCGCAACCATGGAGGCATACAATGTGCCCTCGCACCCACATTCGCACTCCATCCTCCCCACCAACAGCAGTGTGCCACCCGTCACGCGCACATCCTCCATCACCACATACCTCGAAGGCGAAATACTTGATTTCAACAACCACACCCTCCTTACCGAATCCTTCAAATCCAGCGCCGCAAACGATGCAACCTACTGGCGCAAGCTGCCGCCTTTTCAAAAGATGAGCGACGAAGACGTCATCAGGGCATTGACGAGCAAGAAATGGCTTGCCGAGGTCCTGAGCCAGGAATGGATACTGATGCGTTGGAAGGAACGTTGTTTCGTCAAAAGTCTGAACCGCAGCACACCAAATCCCGTAGTACCGCCCCCTTCTACAGCCACACCTTCCTTGTCAGATGCCTCAGCATCAAACTCCTGGTCTACCACCGCCCACATCTCTCAAGTCCAGCCTTCGCCCTACCGCATCGTGCGCAATGCGCAAACCGGTCGCCCCGAGGTCGAAATTACCCCCCAGCCTCTCTTCAACCCTTCACCCACCAACGATGCCGAGCACGCTACCTTTGACGATTCGGGTTGCGGTCTTACCATAAGCGGATTCTACTACGTTGCTCTGGATCGGACGAGTGGGAAACTAGAAGGATTGTATTATGATCCACAGAGTAGCCCGTATCAGTGTTTGAAATTGGAAAGCGTGAAGGGTGGGCTGAGAAGTGCCTGGGGGTTCAGGTAGTGAGGGCAAATGCTTGGGTATGCAGTGCTATGCAAGGTAGAAGGAGTTTGTTTGGCGTAAGCGAGGGGGTGTGCTTCAAAATGGTTACATCCCTATATTTTGCATTGCCTTTGGAGTTTTTGGAGTCGTTTGGAAACCTCAGGATTGGGAGGGAGATTATGCTGTCATGGCATCATGGCCCCTCGAGGCTTATCGTTTCTTTGTTCATTTCCTGGGTTGGATTCGAAGGAAAAGGGAAACATGGCAAATACCACCTGCAATTTACATATATCTTACGACGTACATCAAACTACTAGTTTACTCTTATGTCGAAACGGACTTGCATATGACGAGTCCTTGGATAGCCTCGAGTAACCTTCACCACCCAAGAATTGCCTTGAATACTGCCAGTCATACATACATACACGCTGTACACGCGATATGACATATGTTTGCATGTCGCCATAGCCAATAAGAGAAGTATTGTGGTTAGTCCGCTGCCCCGCTTTTCCCGCGTGTACTAGAAAGAGTCACTGTACGCCTAACATGTATAAAAAGAGTTTGACAACCCAGAAACAATGAAGATTAAATAAATAAAAGGAGGTATTTTCTACATAGTAGAGATTGTCTAAGCATTTCTACAAGAACTATATCGTGCGATCGAAGAGTACAAGAAAAGAGCCAAAAAAAAAACACCAAACCCAACCATGACTTCTCCCTCCTACCCCAAAACAGCCGTAAACAAATTGGGCCGTCTGCCAAACAGAGGTTAGCTACTATCTCCTCCATTACACCCCAAATCCAAAAAGTCGCCGACGTATTAAAAATAAATAAAAAATCCCCCAGGCACCTACGACTACCAAACCATCCACACCCTCATAAACCGCACGCCCATCCTCCACGTCTCCTTCACCGACCCAGCCCACCCCTTCCCCGTTGTCCTCCCCATGCTCGGTTGCACAGGCAACTACTCCTCCCCCAACGACGTCCCCAGCCAAGACATCTACCTCCACGGCTACATTTCCGGTCGCCTCTTCAAAAAATCCGCTGCTGGATCCTCCCTTCCACAACAATCACAACAACAACAAGAAGAAGAAGAACAAAACGAGCAAGGTCTTCCTATTACCATTGCAGCATCAAATCTCGACGGCCTAGTCCTAAGCCTTACCCCATTCCACAATTCGTGCAATTACCGGTCTGCGGTCGTGTACGGGTATGCGAGTCTGGTCGAGGATGAAGATGAGGCGCTGTGGGCTATGCGCGAGATTACCGAGAATATGTTGCCGGGGAGGTGGGAGGGGAGTCGGGTGCCGCCGACGAAAGCGGAGGTGAAGAGTACGGGGGTGATTAGGGTGAGGGTTGTTTCGGTAAAGTTTTCCCTCCCTTTTCTTTTCTTTGGGTTTTTCTCTCTCTCCTGGGGAGAAAAAAAAAATAAGGGAGATTGTTAGGGGGTGGGGGAGAGGGGAATGAGAGAATATGGCTAATTTGGATGAATAGGCTTCGGCGAAGATTAGGACGGGGGGTCCGAGTGAGGATCGGGCGGATTTGAAGAATGCGGAGTTGGTGAAGAAGACTTGGACGGGGGTTGTGCCGTATTGGGGGTCGTGGGGGGAGCCGGTTCCGGGGAAGGAGAATGGGTGTGAGGAGGTGGAGGAGTATATTGAGAGGTGGAGGGTGGGAGAGAATAGTAGGGGAAGGCAGGAGGCGTTTGGTGCAACTGCGGAGAAGTAAGTTGGTATGACATGGACATGTGGCAGGAGTTTTTAGGTTTGGGATAAGTTGTTTGTGTTGAAGTTCAGTATTCTCTCCTTTTCATGTATGCACCCCGGAAAACATATGTAGAAAGCAGTATATGACCAAATGAAACCATAAGAAACTTTACAGCCAAATCACTCAGCCCTCCTCTTCTGCATGCCCACCTTTCTTTTGCCCAGCACATCCCTCCCCTCTTCAATACTCAACATGGCCTCCCTCTTCTTCTCCGTCACCGGCTTCAATGCATCTCTAACAACTCTACCCTCAACACTTACACCCTCCTCTTCAAACTCTTCCATCTTCTTGCCTACTCGCGCTTCAATCGCCAGCACAAGCTCCACATCTCTCTGTCCAATCAACGTAATGGCCGTACCCACACGACCCGCACGCGCCGTACGACCAACACGATGGATGTAGTCATCCGGATCACGTGGCACGTCGAAATTGATGACAAGCGCTACTTCTGGGATATCAAGACCACGGGCAGCGACGTCGGTGGCTACCAGGATCCGAGCTGCTTGGGCACGGAATCGCGCTAGATTGTTCACACGATCGGATTGCTTGAGACCCGAATGTAGGGCCGTGACGCGGTGGTCAAGCAAGCGAAGCATGTACTCGAGCAAAGTAGCAGTCTTGGTCCGATTGCAGAAGATGATGACGCTTTTCTCGCTATTGACTGGTGTATTGAGAAGCACATAGAGGTAGCATTCCTTGTGCGTGACGGGCGTCTGGAGGTACCGTTGCTGGAGACGCGGGGGAATCGCTAGTTCCTCTGTATCTACTTCTGAGACGAAAATTGGTAGTCGGCCCGGAGCGCGCGGTTGATCTTTGAGAGCCAGAACTTCTGGTGTTACGGTTGCAGTGAATAAGAGCGTTTGTCGGGTTTCTTTGGGCGGAAGCACGGATAAGCATGTTTCGAGATCGGGGAGCATGGAGCCTTTTCCTGGAGCAAGCAGACGATCGGCTTCATCAAAGACAACAAATCGCACACGCCGCAACCCGCAGATGGTGTCTTCACCCGACGTTCGGATGTGCTCTGCGAGTCGACCTGGTGTTGCAATCACGACGTGGGGGCGCGAGGCAAGCTCGATAGCTTGAGCGCGTTGGTCTGAGCCTCCTGTAATCAGGATTGGCTTCATAGACTGAGGGGCCGAGATGGCCTTCACTTGCTCATAGATCTGGATCGCAAGTTCGCGTGTGGGTCTACATGGCCGTTAGCATAATGTTATAGCTGATTTGCTTGGTGCCACTCTTGTCGCACTCCAACATAACAAGGCGAAACTCACGTGATGATTACTGCAAAGATTCCGCTTGGATCCTCTGCCCATTTCTGCAGAATGGGCACTGAAAACGCGATGGTTTTACCAGTACCAGTTCTTGAGCCTCCTATACAGTCTTTTCCTTTCAAGATCTCGGGGATACAAGATGCTTGAATCCCCGTTGGTCGTTTAATCGCCATGCTGGCGAGCGAGGCAACGAGCCATGGCGCTACATTGAGTGAAGCAAAACTGAGCTTTTGGCTGACCACAGGAACATTGGCAGCTTGAGAAGACGTGCTGTTACTTTGCGCGCCGTTGGTCCTCGCTTTGACGCGCGAAACAGTTGCTGGTGCTACTTGGAGTGGCTTCGGGGCGGGTTGAGCTTCAATCTCTGAAGCAGAACTTTCATCACCATCGACAGGGGAAAGTCTCCTCCTTTTTCTCGCCCCAGACTGGGCCTCCAATATCTCTTGATCGGACGCACCGGAATCACTGTAGTCGCTAGTCGTCATATTATGGTTGTTGGTTGTTTTCAGAAGGCCAATCTTCGACTTGGCTTCTGAGATTTTGTGCAGGGATATATCACGCTAATCTTATCGATAACGACACGTGAATTTGAATTGGGACCAACCATTGCGAGTCGTTCTATCGCATCGCTGCATGATTGAAGATGTGCTTTTTGGCCGGAAGCCGCGAATTCCGCGAATAAACTTTGAACAAGAATCTAAACTGGAAGAATATATATATATATATATGCACCCAGGATCACGACAGCTTCAGCTTAGTCCATCTCTAATCCTCTGGCGAATCATTTGCCATCTCTCCTGTATCTGCAGCAACTCTCTCCACATAGGCAGGACTTGTCCAATCCAGCCCAGTACTTGTCGCCATAGTCCAGAGTGATTTCTGAACCAGCTTCAATTCCCTTACTGACAAGTACCACCCTTTGGGTATCCAGCCAGGTAAATGTCGAGCACTGCGCGTTAGGCTTGCAGCTATGATTGATAAAGCGCGTATAGTTTCCCACTCTTCCTTGCCAGATTTGGTAGCTCGTTGATTCTGTTGAGCTATCTATCACATCAAGATGCCTCATACCTTTTGTGATCAGGCCAACAAGTTCGCCAACGCCGGTACCGCGATCGAAAGACGTCAAAGCGACTAGCCCGTTGTTCTTGCCATCCGGAGTGCGGTATACCTGAACAGGTGGCGGCTTGCGTTTCACACACCCAAATAGCAATGGGAAGCAGAAACAAGAGTTTTCCTTTGGATCGTCCGATTGGTGCTCGTTGCACAGTGCGCACACGTACGCACCGCCTGGTCTTGCGATAACGTTCGCTTGTGGCGTCCACCTTGGATCTTCACATCCCCAGACGGATTCATCGATCACGGATTCATCAATTTGTTCAAATGAAAAGTATGGGTCTTGGGTCAAATATGTCTGGCGTAAGGGTATCGGATCAGACCCGTCTTCGAACACGACCCATTCGTGCGGATGTCCAGGATATTGAAGGGTTGATGACTCGCCCACAATTGCGAGCAACTGCCGCCAATGCGGATGAAGAGTATCGGCTGCTACTTCCAGTCGCTTTCGCATATTTCGAAGACGTCGCATAGCGTCGTTGTCGAATCCGACGCGGTACTTGCAGAAACGGTAGATACCCATACCGGCAAACACAAGTGCTGCCCAGCCTGCAGCATCTTTCACTTCTTTGTAACCTCTCCAGATTGCCATCTTGTTTCGCAATTCCTTTCTACAGCAACATCGTCAGCGATCGTCATCAAAGCCGTTCACCTCAGTAACATCTTGCACTTACTCGGACCAGGCAAAATCTTGACATGCCTCCATGAAAACGGCCTTTCTATGTTTTGTGGGCGATAGCTCTGGTCTCGTTTGACTACGATATTGCACCTGCTCTTCAAAAAGCTCAGTCCACCGGGCTTGTACAATCATCTCAATCGACCGGCATACGCGGCTCGCTTGCGTAACCTTGCGGCAAAATGTGTTCATTTGACTGAACGAGTCACACACTGTGCTTGCTGCACTATTAAGCACCGTCATCGTGGCAGGTGTGGTATCTGGTTGCGCATGTCGAACAATGTCCATTGATGACCCATTGGGTGCAACTTGAAATTGTTCAAAAATTGCTTTTGGATCTAGATTGATAGAGCCATGAACCTGCTCCCAAATACCAATGATGAGCTTGTCTAGAGTAGAAGGTTGAAAGACGAATTTATCCGAGGTAACCTTGAACTGTCAGTATGTTTGATCTGCAAGTAGCTTTGCTGGCAACATTGAATAGTCACCTGACAAGTTTGAATCAGGCGATCAACAGCCGGCCTTCTACTCGAGAAAGCCCCGCAAATATCGAGCTTTGGTAACATGCACATACCTTTTTTCTTTTCGGAAAACTTCGGCTATCAATCTGCATTTGCCGCTGATGTTCGCTAAGATCCTCCTGAAATGAAGACTGCTTTTGAGATACTCTTAATCCGCCGGTACCTTTCCTGCGGTTTTCCTGCTGCTCCTCCCTCGATGGGTAAGGAGTTTGCTGAAAACGAGGTTCATCGGTTGGTGAGGTTTCATCACACTCTTGATCGTCTACTGCCGGACTTTGTGTAGGGGCAGGGGTTCTCATGTCCGCTAAATCTACTGTCTGCTGCATGTGTGTTAGAATGCGCCACTTCACGTGGAAGTTGCGATAGTAGTAGATGACTGGACATACCGATGCTATCCTCTCGGACCGCGCTCTTGCTCCATTGTCGTTGCCAGCTTCCTCGAGGAAAGCCTCAACGCGAAGGATAGGGTGGTTAAGATTATCCAGTTGTGGCCACGCAACATTGATGTTGGACTTGGCGAGGTGCTCTTGTATAGCTCGGCTGATGCATTCTGAAAGGCCTTCAACGTCTGGTATCGCAGCCATCTCGTGATTATACCTCGCTAATACGAAACAAGGCTGTCGGAGTGTCACCGGCCACTAAGGTCGCTTGGTTGGATGAACAGCACGCAAAAGGTAAGCTGGTATCCACTGCGCCTGAATGTCAGATTCCCGTCGTACAGGTACCTCCGAGGAACGACAGGAGACCCCGATGGAATCGCTGCGGTGGCGAGACGCGCGGAAAACGTCCGATAGGCGAGAGAGACAGCTGTGGCTCAGGCGAGGCTTCGTGCTGCTCAGCAACACCTTGGTTAATTAATCCCTACAAACTCAATGACGTTGTGACATGGGGATAGCGGGCTGGGCAGAACCGATGGGGTTGTAGATGGAAATTCTGCTCAAGCAGCAGAAGCTGGGGGAAGCGGAAACGCTTTGGAGGCTATGTGCATCAAGCTTGGCTTCGGTCGTGCTCTCGGTCCACTCTGCGTCATCCGAACAGTTGTAGGGGTCTTATTGCGCCAGCCTTTTTGCACCCAAAACATGTCAGATTCTGTGTAGGAGGATTTCAGAAGCTAAATTTAATCAGAAAAAGATTATCGAAATTTTTTTTTGGCCCGGTTGAACAGTCGTATTTGCTGCTCAATTCTGCCCGGGCAGTCGAGCTGCTCTCAGGCCCCCTGTTTTAGCCAGCATAAAAGTGGGACTAACCGTCGAACTACTGTAACGCGATCGTCTGCTTACCAGCAAACGTCATCCAACCACCAAACTTTTGGTACTAAGAAATGTTTAATCACAGAACATTTGACATAGAAAACAACAAGGCAATGGCGAGGAACTGGTCCTTGTACTTTGCTGGCATTCTCTTTTCTTCCCGTTCAATAAGCGTAATATAGCTTGAACACATTGATCACGAAAGTCTGCTGAACGGCCCACGATGTAAAGCTAAGTTACCCACATTTACCAAGCCGTGGCGCTGCACTGATGATCGTATCGGACAAGGTACGGTAATCGGACTGACATGGTGTATATATGCTTAGAAGCTCAAGGCCCGGGACGGACCGTTAGTCTCATTCCAAATCAACGGCAATAACGTGACGCGCCTCTGCGCATTTATCAGTGGCCCTGCAATTCATTCTCTTTCTTCCAAGTAACCGTGTCTCTACTTGATCTTTGTACGATTGCATTGTTTATTGTATAGTGACTATGGAGTCACCAGGCGCGACGGGTCTGAACAGCAAACTGGATAGGATCGCGACTCGAGAATCCTACACTTTCCAAGGACAAAAAGGATGGCGGAGATGGCGCATACTGCAGCCCGGACGAGGCATGTATCACGATGTTAAACGAAGACTACCATACTACTGGAGCGATATCACAGATGCCTTCACTTATCGGGCTTTTGCAAGTACAGTCCGCATGTACTTTGTCAAGTAAGCACCTTCACTCAAAAGGGCATACATGTACTTACCATTGCAGTGTGTTACCAGCCATTGCTTTCACACTAGACATGTATCGCCGCACCGGCGGATTCTTTGGCGTCAACGAAGCCTTGTTTTCATCAGCGTTGGCAGCAATGGTGTTCAGTCTACTCTCATGCCAACCATTGACAATCGTTGGTGTAACCGGTCTGATTGCGCTGTTCAACTATACCATCTACGACATCATCACACTTTACGAACCCAGTATATATCCAGCATTCACAGCCTGGGTCGGCATCTGGGCTGCCATTTTTCACTGGATCGTATCGTTTGGAAACTTTTGCGATTACATGGCTTACGTTACCGACTTTTCAAGCGAAACATTCGGCTTGTATGTTGGTATCATCTACTGCGGTATGTAAACCTCGAACGCTTACTATGAAGCATGTCACTAACTTCTCAAAAGTCAAAGGTGTTGAGGAGCTGGTCTATCTCTTCGAAGCCTCAGAATTCGAAGGTGGCTACCTCTCTATTGTCATTGCAATTCTCTATTTTGGCTCTGTCTACGGCCTCGAAAAGCTTGGGGGCAGCACAATCTTCAACCCCTTCATACGCGGTATCCTAGCCGATTACTCTTTCGTCTTTCCCACGCTGTTCTGGGTCGGCTTTTCGCATATCCCTGGACGACTGAAAGACACTACAATGTACCGTGTTCCGATTGTAGGAGCTTTCCAGCCGACTCAGAATCGCGACTGGGTAATCGACTTCTGGAATCTTGATGTCAAGTGGGTGTTTGTAGCTTTACCATTCGGATTCTTGATGATGTTGCTCTTCTACTATGATCACGTATGTTTCAATTCCTTTATTCTGTAACCATCCAAGCTGACATATCTTTACAGAACGTTTCCTCCCTAACCGCACAAGCCCGCCAGTATCCCCTTAAGAAACCCGCCGGCTTCCACTGGGATTTCTTCCTGCTTGGATGTACCTGTTTCGTCAGCGGTGTTATCGGCCTTCCTCTTCCCAACGGTCTCGTACCTCAAGCACCGGTGCACACCGATTCCCTAACTATATACGAGACGAGACTCAACATTACTGAGACCAAAGATGGCCACGAAATTCGCAAGCCAGAGGTTGTAGCTACTGCTGTGGTTGAGCAGCGGGTTAGCCATTTCCTTATGGGCATGGCCATATGGGGTACTATGACCGGTCCCCTGCTCATCGTCTTGCATACCATGCCCGCGGCAGTCTTTGCGGGGGTGTTTTTTGTTGTTGGCGTATGTACCCACTATCTCATCTCCACTCATTCTTTGCTCAGTAACTGACCTTCCTTCAGTGGGGCTCCATAGAGTCCAACGGAATCTTGGCCAAGATATGGTACTTAATGTCTGAAAGACGCTTCCTCGACCCGCAAAACCCTCTCAACACTGTCCCTCGCAAGAAGATCAGCCTTTTCATCTGTATTCAGATTTTGGGCGTAGCTTGCACAGTTGCCATTTCCCAGACCATTGCCGCTATCGGTTTCCCGGTACTCATCATCGCCCTGATTCCTTTGCGCACCTTCTGCATGCCAAAATGGTTTTCCGAGCAGGAATTGGGTGTGCTAGATGCTCTGACCGCTGATAACCCAGCTGTGCTGGTCAGCTTTGGTGGAACACCAGGTGGCATGAAGAACAGTGGTACTGGTGGTGTGATCAGGCACGAAGAACAGGGCGATGTAGAGAAGGCTGACAGCTCAGCGTTACAGAGCAGGCCGCCAAGTGCTTTTAGGCAGCGTGAAGGTAGCATTCATAGATAGAAGGTGGTGCAAGGGGATTCCTTAGACGAGTGTGGTGATTGTACAGAATATGAAAAGTAATATAGTTGAATACGAGTATATAGAGCGAGAGGCGCGATTTGAGAACTCCTCTGTTTACTCGCAAAGGCGCGCCCCTAGCAAGTGTTCAGGGGTAGAGGAAGGAAGACTACGTCTTAAATATTAGAATAGTAAGCTCTAAGTATCAAATTAAGAGGGTACTCTAGGATCCTTGTAGTTTCTCTGTGAGATACATAGCAAGATCGCTAAAACTTATCTAGTATAACACTAATCTTCAGCTGTACTTAGTATGTAGTAGCTTGTGGCAGTGTGCTTAGATGTCTATGTGAATTGTATAGTACTGAAAGCGTACACTGTCTTTCTTAGGTACACCCTAGGCATAGTTGCATGGATATAGTGGACTAAACGTCTTTTGATTAAACTTCTCGATAGAATCTCTGTAGAAACATAGACACTAGGTGCTACCATAAGGACCAAAAGTCTACAGCGCGAATCTAACAAACGCTCAGATCACTCTTGAGTGCGCATTTATTCAGCACATAAATTAGCAATGGAATAGAAAGAATAACAACAGTACATGAAACACAACTCCTGTTAAACCAATCAGTCCGTTTAGAATAGCTCCCCAGGCGTAGCCCCTGAAAGAAATCAAATTGTCATCAATCAGAGCATCCTGCACCCAGAAGCCATATGCCTGATTCGCTCACCACCGCTGAAGTTGTTCTCATCTATGTCAGGTGGACGTTCTGGTCCTGCATGAATCCTCTCATCTTAGTCAATCTAATCTCGTCCCATGTTTTGGTGTGTCACATTCCCCAAGTTCATGTCTCTTCCTGCGATAGTTGTGGCCTGATGAAGTGTGTCTGCCTCAGTTGTGCTGTTATTTAATGGCATTGTCGCTGAATATGGCACTTCTCTAACTTCGAAATTCGCATCTAGTGTCTTCGAGCTCTTGGCCTGCTTGATCCAGGTGCTGAGAACGCCCTGGAGCTGAACAAACCCGACATCGTACAAGCTGGTGAACTTGGTCATGTCCATATGGTTCGTATCGATCCCAGAGCCTGAATATCACTCCATCTTCGCAGACTCTTCTGGTACGATGTACCTGATGAATATTGACAGCAACCGTGTCGTAGTAGCAGAAATTTTTTCGCATGCTTCAGTGCTCCATCCCCTATCAACTGCCGTTGGAAACCTTCCTCGACTGCTTTAGGCACTTCCTATCTCTCCTTGAGTGGTGAAAGGAGCTTCTCGTTCATCCTCTTTAGCGAATAGAAGATCCTTGCTATGGTGTACCCCTGCAGTCTGTCCGCGGTAAGGAGCATCATGGCTAAGCATGACACCAGTGTGCTCGCCACGGAGCCCGAGAAGCACATGAAGAACTAGGCGTCTGAACTCCATTAGGCAAGATTCTTCTGTGCTCTCAAGCTGGTCTTCGTCAATACTGACAATAGCGTTTTCGACTAGGCGAAAATTAAGGGCGACACCACTACGGACGCGTGTTTATAGTTTATCTCTAAGATCATCGCCACCAAGATGAAACTAAGGAGGTTGGCAGAGATCTAGGTGCAGAAAGAGGCGGAGAAACAGAAGACTATAGAGCGCTATATCGTACAAACGATGCAACAAAGGCTCGATAACGCCACCTACTAGGTCGACCCAGAGGCTGCCAAGCAGGCCGCCTTGAGAAGCATCAAGACACTCAATCGCGATCGTACTGAATTGCCTCGACGCAAGGAAGCCCCCAAGACCCTGCACCCTGTCACCACGGCAAGCGATGAGGACGAACTCAACTTGGAAGACGAACCGGACCAACCTCGTCCTACTACCCCTGCGAATCCCAGCGAGCTGACGGAAGAGGAAATCGTTGCATCCTACGTTGCCAGGATAGAAAAGGTACAGGCCAAGCAGGCGCGCGACTCCGCCCAGCAAGCCCGCATTATGCGCGCAGCACGTAACCTGAAATCCCGCCCCGTCGTCTACAACGCCTACGTCTAAGACATAGCTATTCTGCACAGGGTTGCACTTTACTATATAGAACAGATCCGCACCGTACCCAAGTGCAACAAGAGGAAAACCCCGATTCTTAAGGCTATAAAGGTATTGCATAATCTGAGCAAGCAAACGACCATACTCGTGAGCCGAGAAGTCGAGGAAGAGGGCACGGCGGGAAACGACATCATGAATACCATGGCACGCGAGGAGGCGGCAGGCACCCGTCAGCGGACCAGGCATACAGTACACACTAAAGGGGAGGAACTGCTAGACATAGTCGAGATCCCTAAGGAGGAAGAACCCAATCCAAGCGCCGATTTGTTCAAAAATGCACGGACCAGCAAGAAGTTCAACCCAGATTACCTCAGGGAAGCGTGCATCGAGGCAAGTATCATCGAAATTTACAAGAAGTTGATACCGGACACCAGGGTGCCCACTTTGCAAGATCAGGCCCAGAATGTGGCGTGTCCATAAACATGATCTCGGCCGTGCAAGGTGCTGCACTTTGTAGAAGAGATTCGCTTGGATCTAGGGGGACAAGGATTGCTTGCTTGATGAAAAGGCCACCAAGGCTGTGAACAATGAAGAAGAGAGGGCGTTTGGTCTCGTCCGGGCGGCTGTTAGAGATAGCATAGGCAAGGGCCTTGTCGTACCCGCGAAGCCCTTCTCCACTGGCGTTCTTCCACAAGCCCACGATATCCGCGTCATACCCATAGATAATGACTCGTGCTGACGGGAATTGCGTACATACAAGGTCTGGCGTGAAGGTTTTCGCATCGTGGTTCGTCCATGTTATATCACTGTCCCCAGTTAAGCCATGGATGAATATATACTACATGATTATTGAACTGAAGGCATGATATTTCTTTCTACCATAAGAGACTACTTAAATATTACAAGAGAACAAAGGATCCATCTCATCACCTGACGGAGCATGAGATGAAAGCAAGAAGATAGTTTGACAAACTCGCAATGCTTGCGGAGGTGTCAGCGTGCCCTTTCCAACAATCATTAGTTATTTCACCACTGTATCAATGGAAGCATGTACTCTATACCTGCATTGGCTGGATTTAGTATCGCCTGAATGCCAAGTTTTCTGTCTATTTTGTCGCTAGTGGAAATTTTAGAGACCGAAAGCAGATAGGTAAAGTACAATACACACAGCAGCATACATTACACAGAGATCACCGCGCATGACTTTCGCAAGATACTTCTACAAGGTTCGCACAAGCGACCGTGACCGAGTGCGACTGCTGGAGACGAATGTGGACGACAACCGCAGAGACGGACGAGCATCTAACTCAATCATCATGGCCTGGCATGTGTCGTTTGACCATATTCGCCGCGCGAAGCCAGCAACTGCGCGGCTGCTATCGTTGATGAGTTGACCACCAGGGCATCCCTAAGTCGCTTCTTCGGGGTCAATACAGAGCAGACAAAGGGCAAGAAAGAGTTGGCTTCGACGGCGACATCGATACGCTAACTAGCTACTCGCTTATGGAGATGAACAACGCTAATGGCAGGGAGTTTAAGATGTACCGTCTCGTGCAGCACTCGACCAGGAAGTGGTTGGAGTTATCTGAAGAGCTAGAGTGGTGGGGAATGATATATGAGATGCTAATGGACAGCAGCTACCCAGTACCGATATACAAAAACTAATCGATTTGTCGAGCACTATTCTCGCACGCGCAAGCTGTAGTGGAATACCGGCCAGAGGAAGCAAAGACGCCAGCGGCATGGGCGTCGGTGCTGTTCAAAGCAGTGTGGTATTCTGCCGAGATGGGGCGGCACAACGTAACGAAAGAAATGAACAAGAGGGCTTTAGAAGCAAGGAAGGAGGTGCCGGGGCCAGAGCATCGAGATACGCTAAGGAGCATAAGCAACTTGGCATAGATACTGAACAAGCAGGGCAACTACGAAGTGACCGAGGCAAAAAGTCGGCAAACGCTGTCGTTGAGGAAAAAGGTGCTGGGGCCAGAGCACCCAAATACGCTGTGGAGCGTATACTTTCTTGCATGCCTTCTTAGCAAACAGCGTCGTGTAGACGAGTCTTTACCTCTGCACCAGAGGGGATCTGCTGGATACGAAAAAGTCCTTGGAAAAGACCATCCTACGACCATAGAGTGTCAACTTCATCATGCTGATTTGCGTGCATGGCAAAGGCAGCGGCAGCGGCAATGACTTTCTTATCTACTTTATAGCTAGTTTTATTCATCTCTCTCGAATATTGCTAAAACTTGGGTGGTGTAACTTAAGCGTAGCCTTGAATAAGGGCGTTATACTGAGGCCGAAGGTCTAGACGAAAAAGGCGTCCCGTCACATAGGGTATCCCACTACGCAGAGACGGATGTTAGCAAAATATCAATGATATTGAGATAAAACAAAAAGGAAAGATTTCGTATTCATAATCGTGACTAAACGCTAGAAGAACTCTCCTGACCAAGTAAATCTGTGTAATATATAGAGAATAAGTTGTTGAAACAAATGGCATACAATCTGAGTCTGTTCGAAAAAAAAACACTTCTATAACCAGTCATAATGTCACGTCGATGCCACTGTATCTACGCCTCAGTCCCTGCTCATTTTGACGCCGTACTCGGAAAAGAAATGACATTGTTTGTTATGAATGACATCAGACGTGTCTTCCTTGAAGACATTGCATCCGAACGTAGCCGCATTAGGTGGTGTATACACTACAAATCATTAGCAAGCAAAGCTCTATCCAACCTCACAGTTCAGCACTGACAATGTAGAGAAACGGCGTAGTCAGTCGGATCAGGGTTGGAAATACGGTGTGTACCCAGATTATCCGCCATGTACGTGACTTGATTCTCCGAGTACGTAGTCTCGCGAATCTTTTTCATGGGGCGATGATTTCGCACGTCTTCATCTGAAGGAGTGGCGAAACGGGTTTCGGTCAGGCGGCCCCTGAGCATCTTCATGATGCAGTGTGCGTTGGCGTGGCTGTAAACAGCGTTAGCATCCGATTCGGGATGTGTTGCCGAGCTGCATGCAATGGATAGATGCAAAGGTCCACATATAAACGCGGTTGTTTCGGGGGGTTGGTGATGGGGGTTTGGCGGAGTTTGGTTCGTCTTACCGGCATGTTCTCCTGTACTGACGCAACGATCAATCGATCGGCGAACACAGTCGCTTCATCGTGCAGAAGAGCAAGGCCATAGACTGCGAAGGGTTGGGGTCGGTATCGTTGGGGCGACGACGGAGTTGGTGGCGGGTAACTCGTGTTAATCACCAGTGGACGTAGTTACTTACTCGTGAATCGGACTCTTCTTACCGGGGCCCCATACTAGGATAAGCTGTGCTGTGAGCAGAGCATAATAGCCAAAGCGATTGAAATCATACCAGATTACTCTTGCCGTTACCCTTGTCTACTAGGTTGCGTGTGTAGGGCACTTTGTCTGAGGCGAAATAATATCTCTTCCATTCTGACTCATTGGAAACGTAGGCCTCCATGAGCTGTTGAAGCTCATTCTCATCTACATCTGCAGAATCTATACCGCTGCTGGGCCCGAGTTTCTCATTGATGGCTTCAACGAGAGCGCGGAATTCGTCGACTTCTGTGCTACGGCCAATCATTCTGACAATAGGCGATTTGCAAAAAATTAATGTATTGCGGAACTTGTCAGCTGCTTTGGTACGATGATGAGTTGAAGATGTATAGCAGTTTGGGTGCAGAGAAGAAAGTGAACGCGGTTTTGTAACTGAAAAGGGCGGTCTAAGCAAGGCAACCGTGGTGATGTTGGGAAACTGCGCGTGTGCAGGACGTGATTTCTTATTATGTAACTATCTGCGGGTTCTAAAGCTTGTGCTGTGCGGAGGCGGTCAGTAGTCGCCGTCTTTGGATGCGCCCCATACGACGTGTTCTGAGAAAACAAGTGTTTTCGGCGACCCAAAACCTCACAATCGGCTTCTATCGGGCATGTCAGCTTGGAGCAGGAACTGTGGAAGCATGCATAGAAGCCAAGATAGAAGGCTGTTGCATGGCCACGCTAACCACATGAAGTGGCGGTGAAAAGTACTGCCGCAAAGCCGTGCCCCGCTTCGTCATTGGTGGGCTGGCGTCACTCACGTCAAATTTCTGAACAACCACATTGCCTCTCTACATCGACCACAGAGCAAGAAGAGGATAGATAGCACGTCAAAATGTCGACTACAGTGGACAAGGTTTGTATTGACGCAGAAAAAAGATGTTACACTGCTTGCTGACGGGATGAAATAGATCAAGGAGATCGAGGCCGAAGTAAGGCATATCCGTTAGAACGGTTGTCGGAGCGCTACTCACACAAACTGTAGATGGCCAAGACCCAGAAGAACAAGGCGACGTCTTTCCATCTTGGTACGGGACCCCGATCGAACAAGGCATGCCGACATGCTCACCACATGAATAGGACAACTGAAGGCGAAGCTCGCTAAACTGAAGAGGGAGCTTCTTGAGCCCTCGAGCAGCGGTGGCGGCGGTGGTGTCGGATTCGATGTTGCTAGGACTGGTGTGGCCAGTGTTGGCTTCATTGGATTCCCCTCCGTGGGCAAGAGTACACTCATGAGTAGATTGACAGGACAGCATTCGGAAGCGGCCGCTTACGAATTCACTACGGTAGGGGAAGCAAATGCAGTGTGAGTGCTGGCGACTAACAGTAGACAGCTCACTACTGTACCTGGTCAAGTCATGTACAACGGAGCGAAAATCCAAATTCTTGATCTTCCCGGTATCATCCAGGGAGCGAAAGACGGAAAAGGTCGTGGACGACAGGTTATTGCGGTGGCGAAGACATGTCATTTGATCTTCATTGTTCTGGACGTTAACAAGCCTCTCACGGATAAGCGGGTTATCGAGAACGAATTGGAGGGCTTCGGGATCCGAATCAACAAGAGTCCACCAAACATTGTGCTGAAGAAGAAGGACAAGGGTGGTATTAATATCACCGCCACGGTTCCACTCACGCATATTGATCACGGGGAGATCAAGGCGGTGCTAAACGAATATCGAATGGCAAACGCGGATGTGGCGATTCGATGCGACGCGACGGTGGATGACCTGATTGACGTTATCGAAGCGAAGAGTCGAAGCTACATCCCAGTCATTTACGCGCTCAACAAGATTGATGCGATTAGCATTGAGGAGCTGGACCTGCTGTACCGAATCCCGAATGCTTGTCCTATCAGCTCGGAGCACGGATGGAACATTGACGAGCTGCTGGAGCAAATGTGGGAGAAGCTGAATTTGGTTCGCGTCTACACGAAGCCCAAGGGTAAAATGCCCGATTACTCTGCGCCAGTGGTATTGCGATCAACGGCATGCACTATTGAGGATTTTGTATGTAAATTATTTGCAATGGTGGACCAGGGGCTAACTGCAAGCAGTGTAACTCGATCCACAAGACGATTGTGGACAACTTCAAGCACGCGATTGTGTACGGAAAATCTTGCAAGCATCAGCCCCAGCGCGTGGGACTGTCACATGAGCTTGCAGACGAGGATATTGGTAAGTAGATGACGGTATTGCCCCCGCTTGGTGGAGTTTTGTGGGCTCACGTGTTGGCCAGTTACAATTGTCAAACGGTAGAAGCAAAAAGGTCGCAATTTTGAGGCATGACAGGAGATGGTACGGAAGGCTGTGGATCCGTAGTGGCATGGGGCGAGATGAGTGGAAGGAGAGATTTGGATGGCTGAGGAGGTCTCAGTGTCAAGGGCAAGATTGGGTCGCAGCAGGCCGGATGAGGCGCAGAGAGAGGCGTGGAGCCGAGATGGCGACTTGTATTGGCCAAGAGCTGGATCCAGTAGCAGGACGGAGGACAGATGAGGACGAGACTAGGAAGGCAAGGCCGCTTACGGCGGCGCGGATCGTACCTGCCAATCGCTAAGAGAGTCGTTACTTGGGGGAATGGCGGGCGGACCGATACCGTCCGCGGGGTGTTGAGCAGCAAAGCAGGACGAGTGATTTGAAGGGCTATGGAGAGGGCGTGGCACAAGCAGGCAAGTGCAGGCAAGCAGTGGTGACTTGAAGTGCAGACGGCACTTTTGGGGGGACTCGGAGGTGCAGTGGGATTTTGGTTTTTTTCTCGCTCGCGTGTTGTCGATATTTGGATTTGAATGTCAAGGCAGTTGATCAGCAGTGCAAGTGCGAGGCCCAGTTTTTTTTCACGGCATGGATTTGGGGGGATTGGTGTAGACGACTAACGGAGGCAGCGGACGATTCAGAGAAATGAGCAGGGGGAGGTTTGCGCTGGCGACTCAGAGGGCGGGCTGTCAGTCGGGCGCTAAGGGATTATGGCAGCCGGGGCCTGAGTGGCTGGCGGGCCAAAGCTAGTGCGGATGAGTGGTGTTGATGGGCGCGATTATCGCAGCATTCCGAAAGCGTTTCAGCCGTCGACGGTTTGCGTGTCTCCTTTATGCACCGCCGATGATTGATGTGGTGGCGGCGCGGTGGGAATCGCCACTGGCTCGCGTACCTGAGCAGCGTGGGCGGCGGCGGCGGACGGCGGGTGGAGGGCAGAGTGCGGTGGGTGGCCTTGGGAGGGGATGGATGGATGGGGGTGTGTGTGCATGTGTGTGGTCGTGGGGAAGCGTCAGATTAGCCGGGGTAAGAGGGGAGGCATTTTGGCCATATCAACAGAGCAGTAATAGCAGTAGCAGCAGGTACCATGCCGTACATACAGGATGCAGCACTGGGCGGTACATGTTAGCTACGGCCATGCGCGCGTCCATCCATACATACGTAAGTACTGACATGGTCGCGGTCGAGGCATGCCCCGGCGAGCTAGCCCCGGCGGCCGCATAACTCTGGCCCGCGTTTTCCTAGGGGCGCATCCGCGATGAGAGACCCGCACGCGCTAAGCCCAACGTTGCAGCTCGTCGCTTGGCCGGGACGGCGACAGGGATTCGGGGATAGGGTGTGGGTGCATGTGGATGTGGTGGATGTGGGTGTTAGGGTCTGTGTGTGTGTGTGTGTGTGCGTCTGTGTCTGTGTGTGCACACGCCAGGCCGCCAGGCTTGCCGGCAACCTTGGGCTCGAAACAAACAGGGCGTCCTCTCCCGCCAGCTGCGGTAGGCCGCACCCGCATCGCACCGCCAGGGCCCTGCGACCACCACCGTCCCCAGACTTGTCCTCAAGTACGCGCCAGCCCTTCCCTGCAACCCTCGCCCCATCACCATCAGCCATCAGTCATCTTCTCCACCCGCCTTGTACCTATCTGCTGTACATACATACTTGCATCCATACATACATACCTACTCCCACCCACTCACCCACTCACCCACTCATACTACTACTACTACTACTACTACCACCACTACTACTACATACCCACCCTCCCTCGTCCCATGCATGCACGCCCTCACTACACTACTACTACCACTACTACGACCACAACACTCCCCACGCCCTAGATGCATATGCCTCAAGCCCTCTGCTGCCTCTAACCTCTGCATAACACGGACACTTGCTCCCCACGTTCGTGCCCCCATCCCGCCTGCATAGTCCCTTCCCTTTCGAACTGCCCGCCATGAGCCAACTGCACATGGATCACGACCATCACCTCCACCAGGAGCCCTTTGACGACCAACATTCGGCCTGGCGCCCAGATGCTCCCTACAATCCCCACCACCAGTCGCCTGTCCAGGACTACAGTGGCTTCGCAACCTATCCGCCCCTTCCCATGGAACCCATCTACGCCACGGGCATGCACCCTCCCCACCAAACCCACCAGACTCCGAGAAACACACACCCCCAGTTGCAGCCCCTGATCATGCCCCAGATGCCTCAATGGCCCAGCATGCTCACCAGCCAGTCGACGTACCAGGCTCCGCTCTTCCCTTCGGCGCCTCCCCCCATTACACCCGCTTCAGCAACGCCAGTCTCCGCCACTTCAACCCAGTCCCGCACTTCATCCACGCCTCGAAAGACGCTTACGGACGCAGACCGCAGGCGCATGTGCCAGTACCACGAGGACAACCCTACAGTCAAGCAAACGGAAATTGGAGGTACGCCCAGCCCACAAGCCCAAGCCTGTGTTTCCCTCAGTCCATCACTGACTTGAATCTAGCAATGTTTGGCGTAGAACGAAGGTACCGCTGCATTTATGCCTTGTGCATTTTCCCGCCCTGCTAACCGCTGTGTAGTACCGTTTCCAAAGTCTTGCGCCAAAAAGAAAAGTACCTCTACCAAGACGATGGCAGCCGATCGCCCATCAAGCGATCAAAGGGCAAGTTTCCCGACATTGAGCGTGCACTTTCAAATTGGGCGAGAAACCACCAAAGGCAAGGCCTGCCGCTATCCGATGCCATTATCCGCGACAAGGCACGCTTCTTTGCACAGACCGTCGGCAACTCGGACAGCCACCTCAAGGCCAACAGCACCAGCTGGCTGGAAAAGTTCAAGCAAAAGAACCATCTCATGGGTGCAAAGTCAAGAAAGGGATCCATAGCAGAAGAGTCCGAGGGAACCTCGAATCCGCCGTCCAACGCGCATACTCCCAGCGCCATCTCGCCAACCTCGCCAGGTGGAGTATCACCAGCCACCACGACCATGAAGACTAAGAAGAGCGAAGAGAACCTAAAGACCGAAAGCCCAGACACATATGACTTTGGAAATCACCGCAGGCCCTTCCATTCCCAGAGTAGCACTTCACTGTCGAGCGTCTTCACCGACAATGCGCCCTCGACCTTTTCAGGCGGCCCCACAAGCCCTACATCGCTCTCGTCGCCATTCTTCACCCCAGATTCGGCCTGTGGACAAAACAACCCATTTATGCCAAATCGCCAACCTGCCAACGGACAGCCCGGGTCCGGAAACTTTCAGCGGCCGCGAAGCCAGACGTTCCCCATGCTCGTGGGCGTGGAGCAATACATGTCACCCCCGGGCTCCTCAGATGCATTGACTCCAAAGTACGTCAGTAGCGGCACTCTTGACTCGCCCATGGCGGACATGCCTGGGACTCTACCCGCCATTGACGAATCCATGTCACTCTCGCCGACACAAATGCCCAACTCGATGCAGCCCCCTCCCCTGCCGGCTACGTCGGGCCAAGCGGACGACAAGTGCTCATGCACCGACTCGTCGTTGATGACACCATCGCAAGAGGAAGCGGCGCGGGCCCTGGAGCTCGTCATGAGCTTCTTCCAGTCGCAGAACGCAGGTTTCGTGGTGGAGCCACAAGAATACGTGACCATTGGCAAGCTCATGGAGAAGCTACGAATCAAGCGCGACTCCGAGGGCTTGTCCTCTGACATGCGACGGGTGTCAGAGTCCAACTTTGCCACGAGCAAGCTTGAGAGCGTCGATGCGATCCACTAATGAGGCCGCTGCGTCACTCGGTATCATGTCTGGCGGCCCTGTGCGCCCTTAATGCGCCTATGATTTACTTTATTCCATGGAACGGCTTTTGTCGATTCGCTTGGTTTCAGGATGGCAGGATTGCACAAGGCTCATGGATCATGAGGCCAAGGGTTTTCGATGCACCCTGCCCAAACGGCTAACATTGCTAAATGGGAGCCACTCTTTTTTCTTTTTGATTTTTTTTCCTTCTGTCAATCTGATGCACTGCATTTTCGTCTCCGCATTATTAGCATTCTTTTTTGTTTCTTTTATTGTTATTTTTTTTTGGGTTTATTCTCTCTTTCTCTCTATTTACTACATGCTTTGTATTGTCCGTCTGTCTTGTTGTTTTTTCCTCGTTTTCGTATCGCTCGACGAACCACTATACCCCCCCACTTTGGCAGCGCGCAACAGCAGCACACCGGCACACAGCCCAATTTCCGACTCATTCCTTTAACAAAAGAAGATTGTAACCGCTCGCGCGGGCCATTAACCTGTACACGTTACCTTAGTGTGTTCATTATTGATTTCATATTTGCTTGGTATGGCGACATTATAGTTTGGAGTAACAGAGTGTGAAGGGAGCAAAGGGTTTCGTACACGTCGTTGTGACCCATGGGTGGCTCGATACAGTTGCTCAACCCCCTTGCCGAGCCTACTGGCTGAACGTAAGGGTTGTTTTATGCTTTGAAATGCTATTAATGCTTAGTACGACCGCGTATGATTGATTGTGCCTGTTGTCCTTGAGTGCTAGTCATTTTCCTTGACCTTAATCCTTAGTCGGCAGCGCTGGGGTGTTTGGTGCGGGAGCAAAGCACTGACGCACTGACGCACTCGACTGATCGCCATACGGGCCTGCGCTTGTGAACAGATGGTACTTGCCGCTCGGCCTCTGGCGCCCGTGCGCCTTCCGGCCACCTCGACCGCCCGCGCGCACGCACGCAGGGCCCCCCGTTTGCACAAGGGATGGGCGCAAGGTAGCAAAACATCCACCTAAACATACCCGTCTGTCTGTTGATCGTGCCCGACATTAGCCACACTGACCAAGTCCATCCTGAACACTCCCCTCGGCCTGGCCACGTCTATCCATCCAAGTGGCCGTTCAAAATAGGCCCATGGCCCTATCAGGCCGCTCTCTTTTTTTGCCCTTTTCTTTCCGCCGCCGTTGGCAGCAGCTACAAACTCCCCCGGTCCCGAAGCACTGACCCTCCTCACACCTAACACATTGCCCTGCATTTTTCTTCTTTTTGCAACCTCCGACACAACAGGCGAAAAGAGAAAGAAGGGAAACAAGAAACGAGATTTCCCACTCACACATTTGCCGAACATACTATCCTTGACAACAAGGGGGTGGGGGTGGACCGAACAGCGAGAACCGAGACAGGAGCTACTTCTATAATTACAAGCGACACAGATGACGACAACCCACGTCCACACACCTTTTGTCGATTCTCAAACATGTCAGGCCCCTGGCGTGATGTACGTCCATGACATCGCTCTCAAATAGGAACAAGCGAAGGGGAAAAAAAAGGGAAAGTTGTACACCTTCTCAAAATCAGCTACGTCGTTTGTCTCAACAATGACATGTTGTTCCCGTTCCGGCCCCTCCCATCTAGAACACTTTTGTCTTGTCCCAAACCCCCTTTTGGTTTCAGACACGCAACGGAGACACACGGCAAGAGTGAGAGTGAGAGAGTGAGAGCAAGAATTAGAGTTCGCAAAATTCGTTTCTCCTTCAACGCCCTTTTTCTTCTTTTTTTTTTTCCACCTCAGGCTTAACTTTGACTATACGTACGTAACACACGTTATCGGTAGTATGTAGAGTAGTAGTCTCACACACCAAGGAGGCGGCGCAGCAACCCTTTCCTTTCCCAACTCTCTGCGCCCCTTCTCTTCCCGTTCCCGGCTCCCCGAACAGCACGTTCGAGACAACACCGGGGGCGCAAGCGGAGGGGGGGGCAGGGCGGGCAAAGCCGCAGCACCAGCAAAATGCGCCAAAATAAAAAGTCAAAAAGAATAAAGGGCTGCCCAGAAGCGGGTTTTCCATGTTGTTATTTGCTTTTTGCGCAGCTCCCTCGCTCGCTTGGTTTAGTTCCAAGCCACGGGGAGGGGGGGGGAGGAAGGGAAAGCATTGACGCGCCCGTTGGGAACGGAGAGCGGTGTGTGCGTTTCTTTTTTTGGGGGGGGAGGACGGGAAGGAAGGGTAATAAATCGGTAAAAAGCCAAGGTTAAGAACAAGGTGTATGCAAGAAGGGGAGGAAGGATGTGTGAGGCGACGGGGGGGAAAGTACGTAGCGAATCATGGAGACTTGGACTGGGCAAAGGGGAATCAGGGTTCGTCTATGCGTGCGTAGGGGCGACGACGACGACGACGACGGATGGATGGGCTGTGGACGCGCGGATGGGCGTGTGTCTGTGTGTACATGTGTGTGTGTGTGTGTGTGTGTATTGCGACGGATTAGGACGGGTGGGGTTTGTGCGCCCGACCGTTTTGGGCGGGATGCAGCATCTGTTGCTCGTCTTGTCTCTCATCTCATATCGGGGCTCTCTTTGTTTTGGCCTTTGCTGGGTTTATCTTTTTCAAGGGAAAAAAAGGGCTACGTACGGAGGTGCCTTTCAAAAGTATTGTCTGCCAAGAATAATCTAGCCGATGTACGGCCGCCTTAGCCGAGGC